GCTGTGTGCTCCAGTTATGCCTTCTCCATTAGACACCACTAATTTCCATGATTACTGTTATGTCTAAATGGCATCCTAATGTAATACAATTTATATTATCTCTGCTTGGTGTCAGTTACCATTGTGTTCCATATTCCATGGGATCAACTCTTCACAGACACACTCGGAGGCATCGCCACTGCTGCTGCCAGCTGGATTCAGTTCCTCTCCCTGGTTTATTCAACTCTCCCCCACCTTTCAGTTCCACAGCCTGGAACCCAGGAAAGATCAATGCTTCCGGGAACTGGACATGGGCTTCCCCCACCCCACCACAAACAACTTGGCCCAGCTGCCAACCTCAAATACCTTCTCTCAAATGCTTGTTCACTCAAGCTGGGAACTTTTGCTGTCTTTCAGGGATGCCCTTCCCTGGCTGAATGCAAGCCATCTTTGCCCCCATCCTCCTTCCTTAGGCCCTACGTCCACCGAGTGGCTTAAATACTTAGCTCTAACTATCGACTTGACGGCAACGGGTTTGTTTTGTTTTTGTTTTTTAATGATTAATTAGTGCTTGGAGCCCTGGTGGCACAGTGGTTAAGAGCTACGGTGAGCTACGGCTGCTAACCAAAAGGCCGGCGGTTCAAATCCACCAGCTGCTCCTTGGAAACTCTACAGGGCAGTTCTACTCTGTCCGATAGGGTCACTATGAGTTGGAATCGACTCGATGGCAACGGGTTTGGTTTTTTTTGGTTTACTTAGTGCTCACTACAGACGAGTCACAGGGTGCTTTCCCCATGTCATCTCCTTTAATCCTCACTGTAACCCTGTGGTTATCCCATTTTATAGGTGGTGAAACTGAGGCACAGAGAGGTTAAGTGATATGCTTAAGCAAGGAAGTGGCAGAGGTAGAATTTGAATCCCAGTAGTCTACCTCCAGAGGTCATGCTCTTAACCACTACACATACTGTCTCTTTCAACTTGGAATATCTTTGATGATGGAGGCGAATCAGGGCACAGATAATCCAAAAGAGAGGAAAATCCAAAATTTATGTGCATGTGAAAGGCATCGTTTGATGCTTTTGGAGCAGTTTTTCATTCCTAATAATGATTTGCTGAAGCTGGTATCAGTTTGGTCTGCATTTTCTCAACCCACATCAGCCAGTGAGTGGAGGCTCAGCAGTAATCAGGAGTAGGAATGCTGGCCTAGGGGATGAGCAACTGCAGATCAGCAGGCAGGGCTGCCCATTAGACCAGATGGAGAAACATGAGACCTTCCCCAGGAGGATGAGAGGAAAGCCCCACGTTCCTGACCTCATCCCCAGAGGCTGGGACCTTGAAATGGGGAATCTACCAAATCTGTAGAATTTAGAAATGGTGAGGGAAAATCTTCCTGCCCAAAAAACACAGCCCCTTCTGGATGGTCAGCCCTGCTCAGCTCTGAGGAGTTGGACATTAAGAGGTTTGGTTCACCACTTCAGGGAGAGCCAAGAAAACCCTTCCCCCAGCCCTGACATCTGCCCCACCATTTGGGCCCCATTCACCAGGGAAAGAAAGAGTGACAGGTATAATTAACTGATTTTCTAAGAGAAAAAGTCTATGGTTTTTTTCCCACCCTCTCTCCTCCACATACCCCTAAGACTCCTATTGCCAATGGTTTCCAGCAAGTGAGGGGGTGGATAAAAATAGGTGTGTGTCTGAGACAGACAGAGAGACAATGTAGGAAAAGTAGTTCCTTCCAGGCCCTACCCACTTACGGATTTGGTCAAGTGTCTCGTTTAGACACCCTGTTGACTAGAATGGAGACTATAGGGCTTGTTTCTGGAATGGATGTGGAGTGGGTGGGAGGAAGGGGCTTTTGAAAGGGTGAGAGGAAGAGGCTGACAAAGGGAAAGGAGACCTGAAAGCTGGGTCTGAAACATCTTCACGGTCCTGGCTTGGAGGACTGATGGGGCCCTGGGGCAGAGGGGCGGGAAAGAGGGTGGACGGGGCGGGATGAAAAGCTGCTTCTTAAAGGGATTCTGTCACCCACCACACTCTTGGAAAGGACCTCCACTTTCCAGCTGTGTGTGCATCTCCTCAGGAGTCCACAGCACCCCATAAGGGACTGTACGGTAGAAGCCCTTGGGCAATAACTGGTTGGTCTCTTCAGCCAGTGGAGGCCCTGGCACTGGGCTCACCCAGTAGCCCCAGGACAGAGACGTCAGTCAAAAGCCTCCAGTAACACTGCCTGGTGAGGGTGAGGGCAAGGGCGATGCACAGGCACTAACCCTAACAGAGCCAGCCAATCCAATGGAAGCCGGCGGTGGAGCTGAGGGTTGGGAGAGGGCCTTGGTCAATGAGGAGCTGAGTGCCTTGTGTCTTTCTTCCATCCACACGTGCACAAAGAAATTCAGGAGAAATGGTGACGAGCGATGCACAGCCAGGAGGTTGATAGGGTCCCTTTAAGTCGCAGCCATTCCCCCGGGTACACAACAGCAGCCAGCCGCCTGCCAGAATTAACCTCTGTGTGTTTATCTGGTTTTCAACACGTTGCCTCTGCCCTGCTCTCTGCCTTTCTTCCTTTCTCTTTTCTCCTCTCTCAGAGGTGCTGCAGACCAAGGCCATCTTGCCCATTTTGTTTCAGGTCCCTCTGGTGGATGAAAAGATTCCAGTTGTTTCTCTTTTCTGGAGCACTCAAACTCCTACCTTTCTATCTCTCCTCCTGCCCCCGACCCAAATAATGTTTTGTTACCACGTTTTCTAGGCTAGATGCTGAATCTTCCTGGACTCTGCTCTTGTCCCTGTTTCTCTCCCTTCTCTTCCTTGACCCCTCTTCCCTTCCCTCCTGAAATAGCACCACCCACAGAGATGGTATTAATATCTAGAGACATTCCCTCCAGTGTTTTCCAAAATTTAATTTTAAAACACACACGGATGTACAGGTCATTGGGGTTTTCATTCTTTCCCTCCCTTCCTGTAAAATCAGTGTTCTCTGTTTGCCCTATGAATGATATCTGAGAACCTGGGAGAGAGTTGGTTGTTTTCTGCTCATAGCATGTGACTTAAATGGGAGAGAGAAATCTCTCTCTCTGCCTCAGAGGCTCTGGTATATTCAGGAGAATTCTCTGGGAGCCAACAGGGAAGTCATGGTTTCAAGCTGACCCTCACCTAACCCACGCCCTGGACAACCTCTGCTTCCCCAGTCTGGCCGGCCACAGTCTTCGCGATGGCGTTTCTGTTTTCTTTTGGCAGAAATGCCTGGGAACCGAGAGGCCCCTTTCCCCGTGACCTGACCTCCCACACTAAGAATAACAGCTCTAGGACAGCATGTCTTGCCGTCCCTCTGGAAAGAGGGCATGGCTGGGACGTGGGGAGGTGAAAAGAGCTGGATAGAGCCAGGAGGAAATGGAATTACACAGACTTTTGACTCTTGTGAGTAAAAAATAAAAAGGAGAGTTGGCAGCCATCAAGAATGCTGGGGAGAGAGAGCTGGGAGACTCTCAGAGAACCCTTAATGCTTTCATACCCACTTGCTAATCTCTAGAATTCCATCTCCTGGAAGCCCTAGCCAGTGTCTCAGAAAACAGGAATATGCTGGTCCTGCTGAGCAAATGTGGCCCAGCCCCATTTTATCCCCTTTGCAGAATATTCCTTGAAAAACTAAAGGAGCAAATGTCCTATTTGAGAGAAGACAAATCTTTTTAGTACTAAGTCCTTCCCATTCTGCCCATGAGGAATATGACTGTCTTATTCCTGGACTTTCCAGAATTGTGAGTGTATATCCCAGGTGGTCACAGAGCATCCTTCTCTAGGCTCCCACACCTTCCAGAGAGGCAAATGGTCCAGACCCAAGAAGCCCACCAGCTCTTTGCAAAAGCCTACCCACCCAGGACTCTAAGGTCCTCTAGGGAATCCAGGACAGCCTAGCCATTGGTTGACAAGTTGTCCAAGTACCTCAAAAAGTCTTTTAAGAACATTTATGTCTTCCCTCTTCTACATGTGGCATAAAACGAATCAAATCCATGCGTACACGACAAAATGGTGAAGTCAGGACGCTGGCCTTCCCTTTCTGTTCCAGAATCTCTCCTCCATGGCACCACTTTCTTCATTTCCTTCCTAAGAAGTCTGTGTCCCCATCCCTCTACCCAGACTACCCCTAGCAAAATTGTTCTCAGGAAAGGCTTCAATAACCTTATTCACTTTGGAATTGAAATGATTGACACCCCTTCTCAGGGACATTTACATTTCAGCAGGACCCTGTATCAGAAGGATGTTGTTGGTAAAGTGCTTTGGAGGCATCCGTCTAGGGCCACATCCTGCATTACCAAACCCTGACAGTGCCCTTGGCTCTGTCTCCTTTCATTTAGTAAAGCCTTTGCCAGGGCAGAACTACCCCTGAAACACCGGCTATGTGTAGTACAGGAGTAAGGGCCACCCTGGTTCAGTCTGTATGGAGTCCAGCTTATGAATCATTCGATCCTCTTGTTACTTCTGAGCTTTACATGAGTTATCTCTGAGCCCAGATGACCTGGCCACCCATCTGGCCCACACTGACTGCTGCAGTTTTCAGTGCCTTTTTAATTCCCAGCAGCACCCATAGGACCACAGCCCATTCACCTCTAAGTGGTCATATACCTGCATTCCCTCCCTCCAGATAGGCCCTTTCAGTGGAAGAGAAGTGGGGCTGTAGGAGATGCTGAACATGGACCAAAAAGAAAACTATCCCTGAACAGTTCTGTCTGCACTGCCACACGCTCATGCCCACCCCTGACCCTAGCGGAAAGTAGAAAGGGCCCCTTCAAGGAGGGTGGTAAGGTGGGATGGATCTGTAGGACGGGGACTGTGGAGCAGAAAGGAGGGTTGGACTAGACACCTCCCTGTCTTTCCCTCCCCTCCGGGGCTCCTGGCCACTGTGTGGGCTCTCGGACTCCAGCAGCAACACTGAGGTGCCTGGACAATGATTCTGATGGTGATGTTGCTCTATTCTTGTCTATCTAATCTTCCTTTTTAATCCCCGTCCTGCCTGCCCCTCCCTTATGTAGGGTTACTTTAGTGATCCCTGGAATGTTTTTGACTTCCTCATCGTAATTGGCAGCATAATTGACGTCATTCTCAGTGAGACTAATGTGAGTATTACTCTGCCCTCCCCAGGAAACCTCCTCCTACCTTCCTCCTCTATTTCCCTCTTTCTTATTCTCTCTCTCTCTTTACCTCCTTTGAGTTTTCTTTTTTTTTTAATTTCCTGTTTTTACCCCCCTCCAGTCATGCATTTTATTGCACCTGCGTCGTCCTGTGGGGGAAAAAAAGCGGGAGCTTCTCCTCCTTTTTTTCACGGTCCCAGCTCTGCCCTGCTGTGCTGGTCCCAAAGGCACAGAGGGAGCAGGCGGTGGAAGGCGCCACCCGGCCCCCTCCCAGGGTGGTCACAGCCAAGCGTAACCTTTCAACTAACCCAGCTTTTGTCAGGCCTCTGCACCCTGCGAAAACCAGGTTACCCAGGTTTGAGCCGCCAGAACTGTAGAGTGGTAAGAGTATTTAATATGCCCACGTAACCTCTTTCTTTTCTCATTTTTTTTCTCTTCTCTCCCTTCTTTCATGCCTTTTTTTTTTTTTTTTCATTTTTCCTCTTCCTTTTTGTTTTGTTTTACTCCTTTGTTATTGGTTTGTTGTTTTATTTTATTATTTTTTTTTCTCTCTCTCTCCTCTCTCTCTCTTTTCCTCGGCTTCTCTGCCCCATGCAGCACTATTTCTGTGATGCATGGAATACATTTGACGCCTTGATTGTTGTGGGTAGCATTGTTGATATAGCAATCACCGAGGTAAACGTAAGTACATGGCGTCTGTACCTAACTGTCCGTGCCTGCTCTAACACTCATTTGTCTTTCCCCGGTTTATTTTTTACTTCATTTTATTTTCTCCTCCCTGCCTCCTTATTTTATTTTATTTTTTTAATTATTATTTGTTTGTTTAAATTGGTTTAAAGAAAATTTTTCCTGTTGCTTTACTTTGAGAAGTTTTGATTCTTTTTTTTTTTTTAAACTTTTGGAACGAGCTAGGACTTCCCTTTCCTTTTAAGTTTTGATTGCTGCATCTTTTTCTCTCTTCCCTTACAATCAGCCTGGCATGACTCACACTGTACAGGAGGATGCAGCTATGGGAATCAGGGAGTGACAAAAAGAAGGGAGATTTACAACTTCTGGGCAGCTGCTGGGGCAGGGACCCAAACTTCTTCTAACCCTGCACCTTTACCTCCAGACCTCTGACTCCTTCCGCTCTTGCCTTTCTACTCACATAGCATCTTGGAAAGCAACTCTCTCTAAGTGCATGCCTGGAGTTAAGGTTACAACTTTGCCTGCATTGTCAGCCTTGGCCCACTCTCACCCAAGGACCGCCCCATTAGATTCACATTGAATAGACACCATCTCAATTTAACATTAGCTGCCCATGCAGTCAGCCTGGCCTCCTCCAGGCTCGTTTGGAGAGAAGAGTCGAACTAGTCATGTTAGGACTCCTTCTGGCACCCCTCTTCTCTGGAGAAGTTGAAGAGCCAGGTGGTTGGGTGAGATCTTCTGGGTAGGCTTTTCTTCCTGGTTGCATGGAAGCAGACTCTGTATGAGTACCTCACCCCCACATGAACACACCACAGTTACCTGACACTTGTACCTGCCTGGTTCTCCTCCATTCCCTGCCACCCCTCCTCACAATTCTGCCCCTGGCTCCCTGGCCTCAGACAAAACTTCAGCGCCTACACTCCAAGTCCTCCTGCTGTGTTCCCCTCCCAAGAGTTGCTTCCTCCTATACCGTTTTTAACAGTTTCTGCACATGTCTTTTTGTTACCTGGCATGTTCAAATCTTCTCTCTTTATCCATAGGCAATCCCTCTTACAGTTAGTCTTTAACATGTGTTGTTTTATTTTATTTTATTTTTTTGTCATTATTTTTCCTTAAGTAAGAGACTTGGTGATGTTTGCACAAACCTTGATGCACTGAACCATTGAATAACAGCACGGAGCAGACGCTTTAGAGTTTTGATCTAAGATGTTTGAAACTACCCTACCAACCGCCACCATCTCCATCTCCCCCATGTGCCCTTACCCTCCCCCTGTCTACTGCATTGGGTTAAAATGAGATGTTGTCTTATTTGCCTGATTCCCCCTGATTAGGAGCCCCTGTTGGCTCCCCTTCCAACAGATGGACTTTGGAAGGAGGCTGTTATACTTTCCACACATCTCCCCTCCCATCGACCTTTCACCACATCCCTGATCTTCCTGTAGCTCCAGATTCTATTGCCCCTCTGTCTCCAAGATTCCTGGGTTGTCTTTGTCTCGTGGTGTGTGTGTGTGTGTGTGTGTGTGTGTGTGTGTGTGTGTGTATGTACATGCACTCTCTCTTGACTTCTTCCAGTAAATCCTCAGATCGTTAAAAACCTCAGTCTTAAAAAATCCGTTTTCCTACTTATGCTGTGTACCTCCCTCCCCACCACCACCACTGCTGCCCAGCACTCACAATGTTGCAGGCTGCAAGAGCCCTAAGTTGACCCCATGTGTTATCCAAGCCCATGAGTTACACACCTGTATCTCAAGAGCAGAATCTCTGTGCTTAGGGCTTGTACCATGCAGTGCTCTGAGCTAGGGGAGCGCCATGGAGAGAGAAACAGGAAAGAAGTAGTGGTAGGCCCTGCCCTCAGAGGGTATAGTTTTTGGACAGCTGTGCAAAGCCACATTAAAGTATATGCAGAGTGACTGATAGCCCAACCACAGGAAAATACAGGGAGAAGACAGCAAACTGCTCCCCCTGAAGGCAGAGAGGAACCATTGCAGTCCCAGGGGTCCTCTGGGCTCCTCTCACTATTGGTAAGGCCCAAGCCATCACTCAACCTGCCATTTTCTCCTAAACTATTCGTGTTTTTAAAAGAAACAGAAAAAACATTTTCTAGGGTATAAAGCTTCTACAGAAAAAAGTGGCTATGTTGGGGGTTAGAGAGGGAGGGTGCAGGACAAGAAAGGAACATGAAAATCATCATGCAGAACCTTACATTTGTATAATGGTTTCCTATTTACAACTCGCTTTTGCATTTATCATCTCATTCAACTCTTAACTACCCTGTGAATTTGACAAGCAAGAATTACTATCCCAATCTACTAATGACAGAGGTGATGATGGAGAGATGAGGTGCCTTTCCCAGGCCACACAGCAGGGATCCAGGCTCCTGCTTTGGTCCAACTAACTTCCCACTGTGCCAGAGTTCCTCTCTCTCTTTAACCCATGATGCCCTTTGATAAACCTACATATCTCACATGGCCCCCTCCCATGTACTCCCACCAGTTAGGATTTGGTCAAACCTTACTTTTCTGTAACTTATATTTTAAATAACCATAGGGTTGTTGGGTTTTTTTTTTTTCCCTAAACAAAAATTATTATCAGCCCACCTTCCAGAATGCACCTCTTTCTCCTCCCAGCCTGCCTTCATCCCACACTGAGATGCTTCTCACTTGTCCAGCCTTCATGAGTCAGGCCAGATACGGACTGAGGAGTTTGAGTGTTAAAAATAGTATTGTCTGAGGATAAGATCGGGCCAGTGTATGTGATCGGGAGCAAGAGGAAGTGTCTAGAAACCCTGCATTCACTTCTGGACTACTTTCTCCCCTCTCTCACATAACTAATGGCTTCTGAACAAAAAGAACAAACGTAACCTCACCCAAGACGGGAAGACAGTATGGGAGAATAAAAAAGGGGTGGGCTTAAAGTCAGAAAACTGAGTTGTTGAGTCCTGCTTCTTCTTCTTCTTCCTGTAGCTCATGTACCAAGTGTTACCAAAATGCTCTAAACTTAGTTTCCTCATCTGTCAAAGGGAATTGATGCTATTACATCAGTGTGTTTTAAAAGCCCAAATAAGAGCATTTATTTAAAAAAAAAAACAAAACTGTAAACTATAAAGCACTGTTGGATAGGAGAGACTGTGGCACCCAAGCAAATGGCATTCTTTCATAAACCACCTGCTGGAAGAACTCGGAGGGCCTAGTCTCCAACCAAGACCATTGCATTAGTCTAATTATAACTTACCATTCACAGACACTGCTAAAGCCCTTGCTTGCTGGCTCTGTTTATTTTCTCAGAAACAGACAGCAGGTACAGCCAGATCAAAGCAAGCACAAATTTCTTGACCACTGCCCATAACATTGAAGCCTAGATAAGCTTGTTTCAAAAGCACAGTTCTGCAGGATACAAGGAAAAGATTAGTCCGAAGGACTAACGGACCACAGCTACCAAGACCTCCACTGGACTGAGTCCAGTACAGCTAGATGGTGCCCAGCTACCACCACTGACTACTCTGACCAGGATCACAACAGAGGGTTCTAGACAGCGCTGGAGAAGGATGTAGAACATAATTCTAACTCACAAAAAAATGACCAGATTTACTGGCCTAAAGGAGACTGGAGAAACCCTGAGAGTATGGCCAGACACCCTTTTAGCTCAGTGGTGAAGTTATCTCTGAGGTTCACCGTTCAGCCTGGGAGGGGACAGCCCCATAAAACCAAATGGGACTAGTAAGGTACAGTAGTCCGGTGACAAGGGCCAGAAGGCAGAAGGGGACAAGGAAGCTGGTGATAGGGAACCCAAGGTTGAGTAAGGATATTGTTGATGTGTTGTGAGATCGTTAACCATTGTCATAGGGCAACACTTGTAGTAACTGTTAAATGAGAAACTATTTTGTTCTGTAAGCCTTCATCTTAAGCGAAAATAGCAGCACAATTGGAAGAGCGTAGTCAGTGTCACTGAACTGCGCATGTAGAAATTTTTGAAATGGT